GTCAGTTAATAAGGTGAGTAAAATATTGGCAACTATCATTATTCATAAATAGATACCGTTAGTAAATACAGTTAGTATTTACAATAAATACAGTTACTTATGAGTAAATACAGTTATCTGTGATTGAAAACAAGGTTTTAAAATTGCCTCAATCTCTCCTAATAAAAAGTAGATTACGTTTAACAACAAGTCATTTTAGATGGCATAAATCCAAATATTTTTGTAGGTGTATATGAAATTATATTTTCTATTTTTATTTACATCCTATTCAGTCCCATATGCATGAGAGTAATTATTGTCTGCAGGGAAAAAATCAATAATTTGTAAGCCTGAAATAAGAATGTCAAATGGCAAGCTGGAGTATGAGTATTGTTCTAAATTTGGGCCTGTGTTGCATCATACTTTTCAGGAGCTAAGTAAGACATGGAAATGATATGAATAAATGAATGCCCTTCAAGGCCTGCTGCAGAAGCTATATTTGGAGAAATGTGATCTCTGGTCCCATGATTTGCTTTACGGCACCGTTCACTTTAATATCACTTTAGACTGATTCATTTATGTTTTTATAAAACATCAGAGACAAGATGAAAAATGTGCGACATCTACATGACAGTCATATTTGTCAATATTAAGTCTGGTATTAAAATTGTAAATAATGAAGCTATTATTTATTTAACACTTTACTGGCTTCTTAAAACAATACATTGCATTTTTATTGTACAAAATAAATACATTCATCTTTTTTTTAACGCATATAATACATATTTTTCCACATGCATTGTTCTTGGTCAACTTGGCATTTTTTTCTACAAACATACTACAAATTCACTAAAAATAATGTTATCATTAGAGTATTTGGTTACACTTTATTTTGAGGTGTCCTTGTTACAGTGTAATTATACATTTAAGTACTGAATAATATTAATTAACTACATGTACTTACTATATGGTTAGGGATAGGCTTATGGGTTACTTGCATGTAATTATGCATAATATATTGTTATTATAATAGTAAGTACATGTAACGTGTAACAAGGACACCTTAAAATAAAGTGTCGCCGAGTATTCCATATGTTTAGCTCATAACATCACATTTTATTCTAAATGCTCATTTTACTCATCCTGCAAAATCTGATTTATCGAATTAATTGTAGTGATAAGTGCCCTGCAAGTTCATATCATAACCAGATGGTGGCAGCACAGCCCTTCTTGTTTAGTGCCACTCAGTTCATTCCTTGTGGAAACTTGATTGGAAATTGTCTTTGTGCCCGCATATATCAGTGACCCTTGAAAAGCGTTTTGAAACAATGACTTGTTTATTGCCACCTGTTTTAAATGAATTTGTTTGCTCATTTCAGGCACTTAGGAGCTCATCCTTGTCACCACCGGTCAGACTTTCAGCAGCGGGTCTCAACCCCAGGTCGGTTTCATCTTCTCCATCACCCAGACCTTCATCCCACACTGTTTCCGTTCGGCCACCAGTGGGACAGACTGCCCGGATAGACAGGGGTCACAAGCCGCCCACCCCCTGGGAAGCTGCCTCACGCCACCCACTGGGGCTCGTGGATGAAGCCTTTACATTTCTGGACATTCAGCAGTCCATTGCCTCCAACCTGCGCTATGCCGCTAAGAGTAAGCTCTTACCCGAGCCTCCGGCCGAGTGGAAGGCAAAGGTCACGTATGAACCTCGGCCAAAAAAACAAAAAGGCAGTTTAAGTCAATCACCTTTGACTTTTCTGTCCCCAACCAAGAGCACAGCGTCGGCACCACCTGGTCCCATCCCATACGGGTCACCCTTTAGACAACCCCAAAGGTCAATGACAGAGGCTAATCTTGGACCTTCACTGTCCGATCCGAAAGAAATGGGGCCTCAAAGACTGAGACTCTATAAAGCCAAAGATAGCAGTACTTGGAGACGTTGAAGGAGAGCCGGGAAGCGCTTTATACAGTATGTAAGTGAAAGTGAAATCAAATAGGAATGAATATTGCTGGAAAGTGAGTAAAGTCAAATTATTATGGCTACTATTGAACAAGAAAGACAGAGAAGTTGATATTGCTCAATGAGGGTCCATGAAAGTCAGAAGATGATACGAGAAGTTGAGTTTATGAAGATTATTAGTGTTACAGCTTGCTTACAATAATCACTCATTGTGATCAGTGAATATGCATCCCCTTGTGAAAAAGAAGTACATTTAAGCATATTTTGGAAACACTTTTTTTTTTTAACCCTCTGGGGTCTGAGGGTGTTCTGGGGCCCTGGAGAAGTTTTGACATGCCCTGACATTTGTACTTTTTTTCAGTTGCTTATAAACATTAATAGCTAAAGTCTGATTGCACTGTATTCAGCACAAACTGGGCTACAATAATATGTGAGCAGCATGATTGTGTTTTTGAGAAAGCAACGTTTATGCGTGGTTAGTGAAAAACTCAAATGTTTAAGTCACTGATATAAGGCCATTACACGTTACATGTACTTACTATTATAATAACAAAAAATTATGCATAATTACATGCAAGTAACCCTAAGCCTAACCCTAACCACATAGTAAGTACATGTAGTTAATTAATATTACTGAGTACTTAAATGTATAATTACACTGCAACAATGACACCTTAAAATAAAGTGTAACCCATATTTTTAAAAAGAGTACTTATTATGGAAATAACATGCAGTGCAAATATATACTTAAGTGCAAACTGAATGCAATGATTTGGACACCTAACTGCATGCTAATTTAAATTAAATGAACATGTAGATTACATTTTTATTAAATGCAGTTAGCTGAACTTTAAAATGCTTTTTTGACCCAAGTAAGTAGGACGATCTTTAAAGTGTACTTAAGTGTGTTAAGGAACACAGTCATGAACATGCACTCTTTTGTAAGTAGACTTAAGTGGCCTTTTTATTTCACTAATTATATCTGCAAGTACAATTAAAAAAAAAAAAAAAGATTTGAAGCACACTACCAGTGCACTTCTTTTTCACAAGGGTCATGCATTCAGTTTTAAAGTATTGCACTAATGAACGGGGCAAAGTGATTGTGCATGATACATGCTAAAGAAATAACAAAACATTATACATCTTCATAGTACATAATGTAAATGCTAGTGTGAGACAGTTCAGCTTGTTTAATCACAAATTAACAGCAAATTTGAAATTACTGCATTAAAATAATACTATAATGGGGATGTCTCGATTGTAGTGATGTAGTGATTCTAACATTAATTTTGTTTGTGTGCTACAAAGCTATTACGCAGAAACTGTTGAATCAGTAACAGCCGTACTTGTTACATAAGCTTCACTTTAAAAGATTAAATCATTCTTTGGTGACCCGGCCTGACCCTTCACCACACGCCCTGCTGCACCAGATTCACTTCAGCTAATTCAATCTCCATTTTGCTATTAATAAATAAATAAATAAGTGTACATTCCTTACAAGTATTGTGCTGTGAATGTTGTCACAAATTACTTTTTTTGTCTGTGAGGTTTCATTTGTGACAATGCATGCTCTCAATCCACTTAAAAATGATGGTCATTTCTACTCTGCGAGTTGTTCATACTTTTATTTCTTTATTCTATGACTGAATGTTTCTTCATGAAGGATATCAGCAAACTTTGACGTGTTTGATTTATAAAATGTTAATCAAGATACCAAAAGATTTGTTGAACTGTCAAGTGCACCAGAGAGGAGTTCAGTATTCAGTGAACTGTTTGATTTATACATTCTGCAACTCCACGTTCTGAAATAAAACCATGCTTTGCACTTGTATTAAAAGAACATGTTAAAAAGTGCAGCGCTTGCAGTCGTTTTTGGAATTCTTTGGGGAGTTTTTGAGTAAAAAAGTAGTACGTTGCATATTTTGTGAGAAATCAAGCCTGAGGGAGAGTGGTTTTCAGTCCAGCCGTCTGTAACAAGTTGCTGTCTTGTTATATAATGGCTTGGCTCGACTCCTGAGCTTGTACTTGTCATACAACTGAACTATGTGGCAGCTGACAGTGAAGACTGAACCCTGTTCAAAATAGGCTTCTGCAATGAATCTGCTGTTTGGGATATGTAAATTATAGTCAGTGTCGGCCATTCCAGTTATATTATATAAATAAGTATGAATCTATATAACAATATACATAAATTAGGAGTATATTTTATTATTTGTAGTAGTATACTATGCTTGTAACAGTACAAGGATACCAGTGATCAACACACTGTAAATGTATTTCCTCACATCTGCGGTGTAATTATTGATTATGTCACATTACATGACACATTACTGTATCTGGGAGTGACAGATTTATTTGAGCTTCATGGGAAGGATGAAGGAAACGAGGGAGTTAGAATACTGGACAAAAAACCATCTAACTTCATATACACAATGAAATTAGTCATCGTCTTTTTCGAATTTCTGCATAGTGGCTCAGTTTTGCTTTGCATATTGATGAGGATTGTATGATCTTTGTATCATATCGGTCTTTAAATGCAAGATATTTAAAGTGTACAATGTGCAATTGGTTCCACTTTAGCACAATCAAATATACTTCAGTATATCTTTAACTGGACTTCAACGCTACTTCTGCACAATTAAAGCGCATTAAGCACAAAATTAGTCATTCCAATTTAGCAGACTTTCAGTATACCAGTTTAGTATACCAAAAGTACAATTAAGTATACTTAGCAGTTAGCACAAAATAAATGTATTTCAAATGCATTTTATTTATTTATTTGTTTTTTTACTAGGGAAGGAATATTTAATTAAATGTAATTTGTTTCCATGAAAAAGCCAGGGTAAGGTGTTTTAAATATATCCTACAAATCATATTACACTTATTCACAGTAGAAATTAGGCCACTGACCACATTAACCAAAACTTAGTTGACCGAACTGAAACCTAAGAATGAATGTCTCCATCACACTCAAAAGTGTCAACGTAAGTCGGTTTGTGTGTGTGATCAGTGCTATTTATAACTGCATGCTAGAGAAAGCGCACAGACTAACAGCTGGCCATCGCTCTGACACCCCTCCGCTTGGCCAGAGCCCCTCATTCCTGCTCAGAGAGGAAAGCAGCAGAGATCCAGACTGAGCTCTCCACACAACCTGACCCGGCGCAGGTAAGAGCCCTGCCTCAGGTGTGTGTGCAGTGTGTTCAAAGCGCTGATGACTGCCATCATCTATACATAATGATGAACAGTAATGTCTCAAAGCAGTACGGTAAGGTCTCTGATGGAGCTACAGTGCATTAGCCTGTACTGATTATGCTGGTCATATATAATATCTGCACACTGCTGAATTCACATATTGATGCGATTTGTGTTTTTGGTACATGAAATATATTGTGAGAATGAACTGAAATGCTGAGGATGCTAAATAGTTTACACAGTACACCCTACCTAACAGACTGAATGAAATATTCTTGTGAAAAGAAGTACACTTTATTATATTTTTAAAAATAGCACTTACTACAGAATTATTATACTTTTTCAATTCAAGTGCCAACTGAATGTAATGATTTCAGACACTTAACTGCATGTTATTTAATAACATGTATTATTCTTTACATTCATATTAAATAGCAATTAGCTGATTTTTAAAGTGCTTTTTGACTCACCAAGTACATCTTTACAGTATATATAATTTCATAATTACTTCTATTGTCTTTGAAATATGGTTAAAGTACTGCTGAATGTGCTGACAAGCATTTACGGTAAACTAAAATATTATTTATTTAATGTAATTTCTATCGAAACTTGGATGTCATGTATTTAAATATATTTGTAATTATGCATTTGTAATGATGAAGTTGCAATTTAGTACATTTAAATATATTAACTAAATATATTAAACATATTCAAATATATTAACTATTAACTAAACGTAAAAAATACAAATTAGAATCAAGTACTTTACATGTGCTTTAGTATGTTAGTCAACACATCAAAATAAGTACTCCTGACAAATGATTATTAAAATAGTAGTATTCTTTGAAGTGTAAATAGCATGGTACTGCACATGCATATGGCATTCACTCATTGCTATATATATATAAATAAAAATCATAATCATCAATGTACTTTTTAAAACTTTTAGTTCATTATCATCTTTGCAATTGGTGATATTTTAACATTATTTGTACATTGTTATAATATCTATCAATATTTTTAATTAGCTTTTTATATTTGTATATATATATTTCATTATTTTTATTTCAGTTTTAGTTTCAGTCATTTTAGTACTTAGTCACTAATAACATTTAGAATTTTTTTCATCTAATATTTAGATTTTATTGTATTGCAGTCTTATCTAATTTATCATGTGACTTTATTAGTTTTAGTTAATGTGCTTTAGTATGTTAGTCAACACATCAAAATAAGTACTCCTGACAAATGATTATTAAAATAGTAGTATTCTTTGAAGTGTAAATAGCATGGTACTGCACATGCATATGGCATTCACTCATTGCTATATATATATAAATAAAAATCATAATCATCAATGTACTTTTTAAAACTTTTAGTTCATTATCATCTTTGCAATTGGTGATATTTTAACATTATTTGTACATTGTTATAATATCTATCAATATTTTTAATTAGCTTTTTATATTTGTATATATATATTTCATTATTTTTATTTCAGTTTTAGTTTCAGTCATTTTAGTACTTAGTCACTAATAACATTTCGAATTTTTTTCATCTAATATTTAGATTTTATTGTATTGCAGTCTTATCTAATTTATCATGTGACTTTATTAGTTTTAGTTAATGATATCAACACTGGTGGGTATTCAGCCCTGTTATAGGCAAGCTTTCCATTAAGACTTTCGTAGCATGGTTAGTGAACAGCATGTGTAGTACAGTAATGGATGTGGACACAGATTCCCATCTTCCTCACTCATTGCTATATATATATATAAATAAAAATCATAATCATCAATGTACTGTTTAAAACTTTTAGTTCATTATCATCTTTGCAATTGGTGATATTTTAACATTATTTGTACATTGTTATAATATCTATCAATATTTTTAATTAGCTTTTTATATTTGTATATATATATTTCATTATTTTTATTTCAGTTTTAGTTTCAGTCATTTTAGTACTTAGTCACTAATAACATTTCGAATTTTTTTCATCTAATATTTAGATTTTATTGTATTGCAGTCTTATCTAATTTATCATGTGACTTTATTAGTTTTAGTTAATGATATCAACACTGGTGGGTATTCAGCCCTGTTATAGGCAAGCTTTCCATTAAGACTTTCGTAGCATGGTTAGTGAACAGCATGTGTAGTACAGTAATGGATGTGGACACAGATTCCCATCTTCCCCTTTCCAACTGCTAGACTTCGGCAGAGTCCTGTCCAGTTGGGTCTATATCAGGCGTATCGATTCACAGTCCCCCGCAGAACTACACGGGAGCACTGCCTTTGCTGGGCCGTCATGTTTAATAATTGCTCGGGGTTATTTAAAGGGATGTGCTAGTGTCAGCCTTTTAGCAGGTGTAATAAATGTCACCCCGTCCGCTGGACTATGAATGTGATTATGTGTTTGTTCTGTTGTGCAGTGTTTGAAAAAGTGTGAGATTGCAAGAGGCAAAATGTAGGAGACTCACATTCCCTAACTTTGTTTTCCACAGACAGCATGTCTCAGCATACACTGATGTCAACACAGGAGAGGAAAATGCAGGCCGCTGCTATTTGTAGAGAGATCCATGCCACTGATGGTACGAGCAATTATTCATTACATATATATATATATATATATATATATATATATATATATACACACACTGATTTAAAAATACAAAGAGAAAGAAAACATATTCCATTTGTTGCCGTTAACAACATGAAGTGTATTAAACATTACATTATGTCAAGGTTTCCCAAAATTGGGTTTTGCGTAGGAACTGCAGGGGGTTCGTGAGTTTAATGAAAAGCTAATAATGAAATCATAAAAAATGTACAATTAAAATAAATCATTTTAAAATAACAACAATCAAAATAAACTTTTTACAACAAAAAAAAAAATTACTTAAAAAGATTAAATATTTGATTTGTTTGCATGTCATGTGATCATTAGCCAACGTGATTAAGAGACCCATGAACATGGGGTTACTTAATTATTAATGTATTACCTCAGCAGGTACTTGAAAGGAATATATTGAGTGAAAGAGGTTCAGCTGACATACAGTAACATGTAAATAACATTACATGTAAATAAGAAATAACACCAGTTTGTGCTTTTTAATGTGTTTGAAAGACAAAAGACTTCCAAAGACATAAGGTGCGTCCCAAATTGCGCATTTATGCACTATTATATGATGTTTTGTAGTAAAGGAGAAGTAGTGTTCACACTGAAAATTCCAAAAAGAAAAAGTGCACTTTGAATACCCGGATGATGCACTTAAATAACCAAAAAAGCAAAGTGTGAAATATTGTACACTTCATGCACTCAACTGTCACGAAGGGAAGGAGCTATCAGACTCTGATTATGAATGACAAACTAACCTTACATAATTCATACACTACATGGTTGAGTACATAGTGCATAAGTACATAAGTGCATAGAGTATAGTGTGTCATGTGGGACGCAGTTGTAGGAATACAAGGTTAAGTAACCCACCGAGTGATAATTCAAATACAAATGTATGTGTTCATCAATAATTGATGCAATGTTGAGAAAACACTTCTTTAAATTAAAATGATTTTTGTAAACCCAGTTGTCAAATGTTATGTGGCCTCTCAGTTTTGTGTGTAATATCTACCTGACTGGTCTTTATGCGAATATCCACAAAAACAATAAGCGGTGGGCTATTTTAGAAAAGACAATTCTAAAGATGACACAGAAGGAAGAGGGAGATTGCTGTTGTGTGAATAATATGTAGTCATGCAATCAATAAAAAAGTACATTTTTTGGAATCTGATTACATGTAATCAGTAAATAAAAAGATTATTGGAGAATGTTTGCTGCTTCTTCATAATTCTTTGTGAAATGTACTAGAAATTTTTGAGTGAAAATTGTTTCTACACCAATACATATATAGACACTATTCAAAAGTTTGGGGTCAGTAAGAATCTTTCTTTCTATGTATATAGGCTACTGTATGTATATATGTATGTATTTATTTATTTATTTTATACAGTAAAAACTGTAATATTGTCAAATATGCTTCACAATTTAAAATAACTTTTTTCTATTGTAATATATTTTAAAATGTCATTTATTCCTGTGATCAAAGCTGGATTTTCAGCATCATTACTCCAGTCTTCAGTGTCACATGATCTTTCAGACACTTTTTTTTCACTTTTACGATAAAATACTTTTTACGATACAATTTCTACTTCATTATAATTGTTGGTGAAATTTACTAGCAATTTCTGAGTGAAAATAGTTTCTATACCAAATTTATTTCCATGCAGTTGCGCTGCTTAATATGTTTGTGGAAAGCAAGAGTTTTTTCCAGGATTATTTGATCAACAGAAATTTCAGAAGCTCAACATTATTTCTCTTTTCTTTTCGTAACAATGTAAAAGTCTTTATTTTCACTTTTAATTAATACATAGATTTAATGCATCATTGATAAATAAAAGCATTCATTTCTTACTTAACCCTTGTGCGTCACTTAAAAAAAAGTTACACATAGGTCCATAGTGGACAAAAATGTCCATGTCAAAAAACTGTCATAAAAATCTGAAGCTTGTGAGCACAGAGTTAAGTTTGGTCTCATTTTAAAGAAGACCCATGGCAGATTATTGTTGAAGTAAAAAAAGTTTAAAAAGTGAAACCAAAAAAAAAGTTCTAGATGTTTAGGTTTATGAAAATGAAAACTGAAAAGGACAAAAATGTCCAAAAGGTCGCACAAGGATTAAATACTTAATTACTTGGAACTAACCAGCTGACTTTTAATTGGCTCTCCAATTATTATAAACATTGTAACACTGTCAACACAAACATGCTAGGCTAATTATTGTATATTTAGCTATTAACACATGTTAAAACACTGTTAAGCTTTGTGTATTCGCCTTAGTAGTGATTAGATCAACCTCACCCGGACAGCTAAAAATACTAATCCGTAGAGATGTATTACTACCGAGAGCAGCTAATCCTTTTGTAGTTGTCTGTTTGAAATTCTATTTCGGGGAAGGGATAACTGATTGACTGGCGGCTGACTGCAAGATGACACTTGACAGCTGTAAGAACATACCGGCAGGATACATTTTCATCCTTTGATACGCCTGCTAGAGCTCCCCCGAGTGACCCGCATTACGGCCGTCAGTAATAACTCAATTTGGGCCTAAATACAGCTAAAATCAAAACTGAATTGTTCATGCAATGATCAAAAACACAGTGTGGTGAGTTAATGAATAACTGAATACTTAAAAGTTTACTTCAAGTTTTTAAAATTGTATGTCTGGTATTTTTAATATGCTTAAAGACAAACCATGAGCTAATTCATCAGTCAATGCTGAGCATTTAGGCTACACCTTAAAACTGCGGTGTACAAAGACGGTCTCAAAAAATGATTAGCATATGCATACATCTGCGTATACTAAATAAGGTAAAGGTGTAGTTACATTCAAGCCATTTCAAGACACAACAAAGTTATTTTCATGAGGGGAAAACATTTAAATATGTCATTTTGATCATCAAAGATGAATTTTAAGGAATAGCATTAGTGCCTGCAGGGGGGAATTCATTTTTTAAATGATGTAGAATATTGTGTTATACTTGCTCTCAGTGTTGGGGAAAGTTACTTTGCATTACATTATTGCGTTACTCCATAAAAAAAGTAACTAATTGCATTACGTTTTATAGAATGCATTAGGCTACCTTCCTTTTGCATTACTTTTTCTCATCAGGTCTGGGCTTGCTTGTTTTTTAATATAAAAAAGATATATTTTTTTAAATGAATAGATGGGATTATGAATGGGATTAAATACATGATGTATATTTGTGTTGTTTAACATATGTGACCCTGGACCACAAAACCAGTCATAAGGGTCAATTTTTCGAAATTGAGATTTATACATCATCTGAAAGCTGAATAAATAAGCTCTCCATTGATGTATGGTTTGTTAGGATCGGACAATATTTGGCCGAGATAAAACTATTTGAAAATCTGGAATCTGAGGGTGCAAAAAAATCTAAATATTGAGAAAATCGCCTTTAAAGTTGTCCAAATGAAGTTCTTAGCAATGCATATTACTAATCAAAAATTAAGTTTTGATATATTTACGGTAGGAAATTTACAAAATATCTTCATGGAACATGATCTTTACTTAATATCCTAATGATTTTTGGCATAAAAGAAAAATCTATAATTTTGACCCATACAATGTATTGTTGGCTATTGCTACAAATAAACCCCAGCAAATTAAGACTGGTTTTGTGCTCCAATTAGAAAGCAATCTGTTACTTTACTAGTTACTTGAAAAAGTAATCTGATTACAAAACTCGCGTTACTTGTAATTCATCACCCCCAACACTGCTTACTCTTTACTCTTTTCCAGAAGTAGAGATGGATCTAGGGAGGAAAGTTAGCGCACCGAGGGAGATCATGTTGGAGGAGCTTTCCTTAGCATCAAACAGGGGCTCCCGTCTGTTCAAGATGCGTCAGAAGCGCTCAGAGAAATACACCTTTGAAAGTATTCAGAATGAAGCCAACACACAGCACAATGTGAGTGTCATTTGTTACACAGAAGGTCTGTGTGTTTATATACAATCCAAATAACCACTTATTATCAGTAGAGTCACTATTCCATTTTTCTTTTCTCAGATTGACGCCATTTCTCCAGGTCCAAGTGCTGAAACCACAAACATTTTAAGTAATGAAAACTGTCTTGGAGTTGACCAGAGAGCCAATACACTCAACCCTGAGACTATTGCCCCAGGTTAGTCCACAGCAATTTCTTGATCTGCTCAATGCAATGTCCAAACTGAAAACATGATACAATAGGACATTTTGAAGATCCACAGCAAATTGAGTCAAAATCTGCCCATAGGGGGCACTACAACTGAAAACCTGTCTTTTTTTCTTTTTTTTTTGCTGTTGTTGTTTTAACTGATTATTTAAAAATGATTATTATTATTTTTATTATTATTATAGGCAATTTTTAAAGGAAATATTTACTAACAATAAAGGGTTTTTAATAAACAATATGTAAAAAATATTTAAATATTTTAAATATTTAAAAAATATTTTTTTACTAAAAATGTTCCAAATTTAATATCAATTGACAATATTTTATTTTATTTTATTTTATTTTATTTTATTTTATTTTATTTTATTTTGTTTTATTTTATTTTATTTTATTTTATTTTATTTTACAACAGATTTTTTTTGCTTTTAGGAGAGAAAAAAAAAGGTGTTAAGTACTAAAAACCAAAACCAGCAATATATTACACTGATTTGGCCTCTTGACAATCGAGATCGACTAAGTCTCAAAACTAATGTGGTGTTCCTGATTATGTTTGATGGTCCATTTATGATGTTACATCATTTTTTTGCACCTCAAACAGAAGACATGATATAGTTTATCATGGACTTCTATGTAAAACATCTCTAAATCACAATCTTAATTTTTAACCAAGAAATAAAACTATATGACTGAGGCAGATCAGCGCCATGAATCCAAATTTTGAAATATTATTAGACTGTTTGTTTGTTTTTATTTATTTAAATAATTTCAGTTAAGTTATTATATACAGTACAGCATTTAGAGGTTTTGGTTTGTGGTACATGCTGATGTACATCTTGAGCATGTAATTCCTGTGTTAACGGTGGCCGTAGTGCCCCAACAGGAAGCTAGCTAAGTGTTTCCTGTGTCCTTTAAGTGGTGGCACAGAGCAACAGCCGTCCACGATAACATCTTAAACAGATCCTATCCTTATAACTCCCATGGCCTCATCTATAACCTTGGGGCTCAGCCACACTTCCTAGATCGGTGGATGAGCACATATTTACAGTGCATCCTGCTATTTTAGTGACTTTGAGGCTTCATTTGGATGGGGAGGAAAAGATACGAAGACCAGCAGTTGCATTTTTGATGATAAATAAACGATTAAAATCAGAAGAAGTCCCACGGTGTGAGAGATACAAGCCACTGGTATCACGCTATGCTTTTTTTTTTTTATTTTTTTTTTTTTATTTTATTATTTTATTTTAGTGTAATTATTTTATTATTTTATTTATATTTTATTTCTTATTTAATTATATTTTATTTTATTTATATTTTATTATATTTAAATATAAATTGTTTTATTTTTATTTGTAAAAACAGTTTAATGTTAAACCAAACCCATAAAATAAAACTCTTAAACTGAAACCATATTTTATTTTATTTTATTTTGTCTGAGTGTCCATTTACACTAAGTGCAAATAGCTGTTGGCAGAGGCTATTTACACTAACTCCGCCCACCAGCGTGTGACTGGGGTAGTCTAGTCAACACTACAAAAGACGATTATCAAACATCAGCTCCACTGGCGTAGATGGTAAAGCGATTGCTTTTTGCGACCCGAGTTCGAACCTGCCTTTTGCCGAACTTTTTTTCTCCCTTTTCAAATCTCATATCACATCGGAAAGGCATTTATTTTCAATAAAAATAATAAAAAAGTTGAAAATAAAGTATCGGGTAGGGTTAGGGTAGGTGTAGGGAGGGCTTTATTGTCCCAATAAGGTGGCATCCATTTAATAATTTGAATTAAAATTATAATTTACACTCAATGCGTTATTATTGCGTACTGTTTTATTATGTACTAAAATACTGTAGTAGTAGATGGTAAAGCGATTGCTTTTTGCGATCCGAGTTCGAACCTGCCTTTTGCCGAACTTTTTTTCTCCCCTTTTCAAATCTCATATCACATCGGAAAGGCATTTATTTTCAATAAAAATAATAAAAAAGTTGAAAATAAAGTATCGGGTAGGGTTAGGGTAGGTGTAGGGAGGGCTTTATTGTCCCAATAATTTATTGTCCCAATAATGTGGCATTCATTTAATAATTTGAATTAAAATTATAATTTACACTCAATGCGTTATTATTGCGTACTGTTTTATTATGTACTAAAATACTGTAGTATCAATAGCAGAAAATCCTGCTATTTTAACATAGTGTATATAGATTCTATAGCTATTTGCACTCAGTGTAAATAGCATATCGTTAACAAATACTGCTATTTTCACTTTACGCTGAAAATACGCTATTTTGTTTTGTTTTGTTTTGTTTTGTTTTGTTTTGTTTTGTTTGTAGACGTTTAATGTTAAGCCAAAACTGAATTTGCAATGATGTATTATTTTTTATTATTTTTTATTTTATTTGTAAACAGTTTAATGTTAAACCAAAGTCATAAAAGAAAATAATGTTAAACCAAAACCATTATTTTTATTTTATTTAATTTATAGACATAGTTTTATGTTTAAAACAGAATTTTTGACATGGCATATTTGTACAGCTAACTGCATTGAGAAGAAAAAAAAACCCTAAAATAACATCATCTTTAGACATTTTTGTAGCCAATTACTTTTTCTGCGCCACTAGTCAGCAAGCCTAAACTGCCTCCTAATGAGAATTTTTTTCATAGCTCATCAGCGTCTTGATGTGTCAGCGCACTGCCCCATGAAAAAAGTATCTAAAAACGAATCCCCCCTGCTGTTATTAATGTTTCTCTGAGGCCCATTGAACTGCTCAGACCCTCAGCGCTGAAGCTCATGCGTTTTGTGCTGATTCCTTGAGGCCGATAAACTCAGGAAGGAGATTGTCCTCAGCGTGAGGCTGATATGTGACAAAACACCCACATTACGTAACTCTTGTTTTGGGCTTGCGGTTTGAGGGATACTCATTTTGAAGGGTCACCCTGTATTCCTCCACAGCATGTTTTAGGACCTTGTGAAGCCTTTCACTTCTTTTACTTAGTTTCTAATTACTTTTATGCTTCACTGGCAATCCAAAAAAAAATCAATGCAAAGCCACATTGGTACAGTAATGCTGCTGGCTGCCTTACATTATGAAGGCATACATGTGGTCAAGTCACTTTTATTAAAGGGATAGCTCACAAAACAATGAAAAGAATGCATCAACAGTGACGTAGTGTGTTTCTAGACCACGCAAAGCAGGCCATGTGTGTCCTTGACCTATAGGTGTCTCCCTGTATTCCCTCTGTTAATGCTTTAAAGCTCATTTTTCATTTCTGAACATGTGCTTTGTCCTGATCTTATACTTGAGCAGTTCTTACCGCTGATTATTTTGCAGTTGTCTTTAGCACTCTATTTTTTAATCCCTAATTGTGTTTTACGTTCTGTTTATCAGCATTTTTGTTTTTCAGTAAGTCTTGTAAAATGATCCCTTGTGAAAAAGAAGTGTGCTTAATTGTATTAAATGTACCCTTGTAGTGTACTTCAAACCTTAAAAGTATATTTTAAAAGGGTCACACTTTAGTTTGGGGACCAATTCTCACTATTAAATACCTATTAACTATGACTTTTGCCTCAATAAACTCCTAAATTGCTGCTTATTAGTAGTTAGTAAGGTAGCTGTTAAGTTTATGGGGTGGATTAAGGGATCTAGAATATGGTCATGCAGAATAAGGCATTAATATGTGCTTTATAAGTGCTAATAAACAGCCAATATGCTAGTAATAAGCATGCCAATAAGCAACTAGTTAATAGTGAGAATTGGTACCTAAACTGAAGTGTTACCAAAAAAAAAAAATGAATTACACATTTTTAAAGTTGAATTGTCTTTCACTTTGCAATAAAATCTCATTTAAAGCTTTACCTTACAGTACATTTTAAATCGTTATGTTTTAATATATCTTATCGTGCGTTAAAGACATACACTTATTTTTATAATATACTAAAGCACATGTAAAGTACTGGATTGTATCTTTAGTCTATTTTACGTATTTTATTATTTATTTTTAATTCTATTGATGTCACATCAGTAGAAATGACATTAAAGTGTATTTTACTTTACCATAAATGCTTGTCAGTACATTCAGCAATACACTTTAACCATATTTCAAAGACAATAGAATTATGGGTTGCACTTTATTTTACAGTATGTGTACTTGCAGTGTACTTACCTAAGAAAGTACTGGTAATGTAAGGTAACTACATGGGGTAGGGTTAGGTTCGGGGTTAGTACCTATAGTTATTACCTAGTTATAGTAATTACTTTAATAAGTACATAGTATGAGGAACAGGATTGTAAAATAAAGTGCTATCGAATTAGGATGTTACATATAATAATGTACTTAAGTCCTATAGAAGTGGGTCAAAAAGCAAAGTTCAGCAATTGCATTTAATACACATTTAAACTATAATACATTTTCATTTATCAAGTGTATGAAAACATTGCATTTTAAGTATATTCTTTTAAAATATACTTATTTTCACAAGGGTTTTTAGTTCATGTAGCACATCATATAATAAAGCTTTTTTTCATGCGTTCAATAGGTTACGGTGGTCCCCTGAAGGATGTTCCAGCAGAGAAGTTCAACTGTACAGCAATGCCCAGATCCCACCAGTCACCCTGGGAACAGGCCCTCATTAGTGACCCCTCTCTGGCCGAAACGCTGGTCGCCCGCATGCCTGAACCCCAAACCAGACAAGAGATTCCTCAATACAAGAGCTTCAACAGGTAAGATACAAAAATATATATAGCTGCTTCTTCAACTAACTGTGTTTGAACCATCCATGAATATTTATTTTTTAAAAATCCAGAGACTGGTGTTATTTTAGTATTATGTATAGAGTACTTATTCGTATTTTTATGAATTACTATTTATTTAAATATTTTATTTTAGTTTCAGTTTTAGTGTTTTTGTTATTTTGTCTTTTTATTCATATTTTTTAAAATGTACATTTTAGTCATTTTAGTATTTTTTTTTTAGTTTTTCGGTTAACTGAGAAGGACACATTTGTTTTAAGTTCTGTAAGTTTCAGTTTTTCATCTAATATTTATATTTTAAACGATTTTTAATAGTTTTAGTTAACAATAATAACACTGCTGCTGATTATGTTTACAGTAGATTATTACACTGGTCCATTCTGTTATGTAACGCCCACTTTTCATTAATTTCTCATATGTGACCCTGGACCACAAAACCAATCATAAGGGTCCATTTTTTCGAAATTGTGATTTATACATCATCTGAAAGCTGAATAAATAAGCTTTCCATTGATGTATGGTTTGTTAGGATAGGACAATATTTGGCCGATATAAATCTGGAATCTGAGGGTGCAAAAAAATCAAAATATTGAGAAAATCGCCTTTAAAGTTGTCCAAATGAAGTTCTTAGCAATGCATATTACTGATCAAAAATTAAGTTTTAATATATTTACAGTAGGAAATTTACAAAATATCTTCATGGAACATGATCTTTACTTAATATCCTAATGATTTTTGTCATAAAAGAAAAATCAATAATTTTGACCCATACAATGTATTGTTGGCTATTGCTACAAATATACCCCAGCGACTTAAGACTGGTTTTGTTCTCCAGGGTCACATTTCTAATATAAAATAATAATGGGCCTTTTTTCTCTTCGAATATCCTGTTGCATATGCAAACAGGTTTATAAATGCTGTTTCATGTTGACTTTGAAGAATATTTGCCAAATGTTGGAGATCTACCTCATGTTTTACGAGCAAAAAGATGCTATAGAGTCAATCAATAAGATACCTTTACCTAAAATGTTGCTGGGTTTGTATTATATTCCACACCTTTTGCTGTAAGATTGTTTTTGTTGTGTTGTCTAGCAAAACCATAAGCGTTCATATACTCCTCTCCTCTCTTCTCCTCTAATTGAAGGGTGGCTATTCCGTTCGGTGGTTTTGGGAAGGCACCCAAAGCCCCTGTTAAATCTTTTGACGTGAACCCCAGCCTCCCCATTCCAAGCCCCATGCCTGCATCACCCGCTCCGGTCAAACGGCCCACCTTCAACAGAACGGCCTCGGGCTGGGTGGCTGACAGCACCCCTCTGATGCTTCCCAGCATCCCCCTTGAGCCCATTTCATCCATGTCTTCCACATTTATCCCCGAGTCAGATGAACTCTGAGCGTTATCCTTGTTTTTGAGAGCTTCACTGTCACTGGAAAATACACTGGTCAAATGTTTGGAATAATTCAGATTTCTTTCTAAGTTTTCGAAAGAAACTTTTATTGAAAATTATATTTCAAATAATTTTGAAACATTATTACAATTTAAAAGAACCGTTTTCTACTTGAATATATTTTAAAATGTAACTTATTCCTGTGATGCAAAGCTGAATTTTCAGCATCATTACTCCAGTCCTCAGTGTCACATGATCCTTCAGAAATCATTCTGATATTGCTGCAAAAGAAATATTTCTTATTATTTTCGATGTTGAAAACAGCTGTGCTTGTGGAAACCATGATACATTACCATTAAAAAATTAAGCTAGGTGAAAGAAAGAAAGAAAGAAAGAAAGAAAGAAAGAAAGAAAGAAGGAAAGAAAGAAAAAAAGAAAGAAGGAAAGAAAGAAAGAAAGAAAAATACTTCTATTCAGCAAGGACACAATAAATAATGTTATTAAAAATTATATCTATCTATGACGGTTTCCACAAAAATATGTAGAAGCACATTTTCAACATTGATCATAATTATCAATTGCTATAATTACTAATTGAGCAGCAAATCAGAATATTAGAATGATTTCTGAAAGATCATGTGACGCTGAAGACTGGAGTAATGATGCTGAAAATTCAGCTTTGATCACAGAAATAAATGATATTCCAAAATATATTAAAATACAAAACATCAAAAATACAAAAAATATAATTTTTACTGTATTTTTGATCAAATAAATGCAGCCTTTCTGAGCATAAGAAACTTACATTAAAAACATCTTTAAAAAATCTGGAATATATTTTGACAAATACAAAAGGGGTACAAAAGCTGTCACTAGGGTGGTCTCCTTTCAAAAGGTGCACCTGTGAACCTTATTTACCCCTAAAGACGCATATTAGTACCTCAAAGGTACACATTAGTACTTTTTAAAAAGGCACTGCCCCAGAGATTTCTGAGAGTGTACGTAGCACACTGAAAACATAAGGCTATTATATGGTATATGGTACTGATTTCTGTTCTTTGGATTATTGGAAGTGTCTCCTAATGTTGATCTATGCCATTTCACTAAGCTCATGTAACCCAGAGACTAGAAGTGCTTGCCGTTATGCCCATATAAATCTGTAAATATGTATTTATAAAAGGCTGTGACATCAACATGCATTTAAATGATTGAATAAACATAAAGTTCAGGGATGTTTCTACAAGCTTCAGCTGTAGCTTTTTGGCATTGACACAATATATTTAAAAAATGCAGTACAGTAGTAAAATAAAATCCAGCAGAGCATGCCTACTGCATGTTTTTTACACTATCAAGGTTAGAGTCTCCAGGGCCGACAAATTGAATCTGTTTTCCTGACGCAGCTGAGATGAGTGATGAGTCCCTTGGCTTTAGTAAAGCTGCTGTCTCTTGCGTTCGATCAGACAGTCGCTGATGGGCACGGCTCACATCCGTCACCGCTCAACTTCAGCCTCAGCTGCGTCTGTACTCAACATAAAACAGATGCAATGGCATAAAAGTGAAAATGAGTTGATAAAGAAGCAGCTTTGCCATTTTTTCATCGCCTACAGTGCTCTCTGGGATATTCGACTCTGATTGATTGATCACAATTTTTGCGGTCAAATATTTTTAAATAATTGGCCCTTGTCCTTGAAACTTATTTCTTATGTGCGGTGCTAGTTTTACGTTCACTCACATCACTGTTTGGTCTCTATCATCTCACATAATAAATTTAAATTAACATTTTGTGCCTATATTGTTTATTTATTTGTTAGCTGTGTAATAAGCGAGATGGTGTATACTCAGCCTGTTATTATGACAAAATAACCCCGTTCTGAGTGATACCTCTTTTGACATCAACGTATTAAAGGAATAGTTCAGCCAAAAAAGTGGAGAAATTTAGCATTGCATCACTTGCTCACCAATGGATCCTCTGCAGTGAATGGGTGCCTTCAGAATGAGTCCAAACAGCTGATAAACACATCACAATAATCCACAAGTAATCCACACCACTCCAGTCTCCAATGCATTAAATAACATCTTGTGTAGTGAAAAGCTGCGTGTTTGTAAGAAACAAATCCATCACAATGTTTTTAACTTCAAACTGTTTCTTCAAGCCAAAATGCAAGTCCATAACCCATAATAATGCTTTGTACTGTGAAAACAATAAAACCAATTTTTTAATGGCCACAATTTAATTAATAAATAACTAGGTCATGGGAATTTCAAATCCAATTTTAAATCCACAATTTAATTTCTTGAGTAGCGGCACTATTTTTATGACAATTATGAATTATTCCAATTTTTTAAATTACTTAAAATCTTAATTATTTAAAAAATATTTAATTATTTAAAAATGCAATTCTCAGAGGTCCTGCATTTTTTTTTTAATCACAAAAAAATGTGATCAGATCAAATACTGAACAATTCATATTGGTCAACCGTTAATCTGAAAAATCCTTCTCATGTCCTTATATTTTTTTCAACATCTGCCACAATGCACATTTTTAACCCACAGCATGCTTCAGCATTTATGTAGGCTGTGTAAGGGTGAGCACGTGTGTCAACCATACAGTGCATCATTTATTATCCAGTTACATCATCCGAATCTGCAGCAACAAACATACAAAGGCAAGCAACTGAACATCAGCATGTTTTTTTCTGACTCAGGCTGAGGCTAATTGGTTGGCTCTTCTCCAGCAGCTTCTGTTTGCCTACACACTCTTAGCTATAAGGACTAAACTCAATGTTATACTGCGGTCAAGGATTTCAACTGCTCAGACTTATGATTTTAAAGAGTCTTTAATTAAGCAGATATGTCAAGGCATAGATCTGTGCATCATGTATGCTTTTTAAAATAAAGACTGCTATTTAATTTTTTTAATGTATTGTAAAATAATGCACTCTTTTCACATTTCCAGGGTTCAAGTCATCATAGTTGAGTAAAGTTCTATAGTGGTGAATGGAAACTATAACAAACATGATTTTGCATTCCCATTTGCTCAAATAGCAAAAGAAAAAATCCACAAAGGCATTTCTTTTACTTTCCCAAAAATGAAAACATATATTACAAGAGTGATTGCATTGATCAGAAGAAGTCAAATCTACCATAATTCCCCGAAACACTCAAACAGCAGCGTTAAATAGGCTACTTTTCTGTCATTTGATACCAGGGTAATGTAACACAAAGTATAGTGTTATAAATGTACATTACATTAAAAAAAACATTGCTAGATTAACAATGTTAATAACTGGAAATGCATCATCACGGTTTGTAAAAAAGGACCATTGGTCGTGGTCACCAACTGCACATTTATTAAAAACCTTGTGGAAAAAAACTTCAATTGAGATAGTAGTAGGTAATCTGTTACGTTGTACTTAGAGTGATTAAAGGAATAATTCACCCATAAATGTAAATTTGATGAAAATGTACTCATGTTTTAACTCAAATGAGGAAAAAAAATCTTAATAATTAACAATTCATATATTTTTGTCCACATGTCTTGTGCAGGGCTCAATATGAAATAGTGATTGATTAGAGATTATGATTTTAATGCAGTATTGTGTGTGGAATAAGGAGTATACTGAGCATATCTAGGGCACAAATAACACCTGAGGGAATAACTACACACCATAACTATAGCAAATATTTGACCATGTTCCAAATGGATTACTAGTGCACTGCATACTGTGCAAACAGTATACACTGAATACTGAATAGTGCCTACTATAAAATGTCAAAAAGCATTTTTCAAACAATTGTATGCATACTATATTGTTGCCACATGACCTCGATATTATATGACCTAATTAATTCCTATGCATATGCACCGAATTAAACATATGCATGTTTAATTCATGCATATGTTTATTTGCATGAACTTCTCATTTTAAAATTGAGAATGTCATTTTCATTGCATTTCAGTCTCTTGCAGTCTTGATAAAATAAAATAAAAAAAATATTTAAAAAAAAAGACGTGCAAAAATCTTGGTGGATATTACTTATGTTTCATTTTTCAAGTTGAGGCCAATGCATTGTGGGATGTAGTACCCACTTTGCTGTATACTACACATTTTTGAAAATATATCTGCTCATCTATGCATTCTTTGCACAAAGAAACTCTGCTACCTACTGTATGCACAGTATGCCTATTATACTATATGCAGAAACAGTAAGCATGCTATTCCAAACAAAGCCCAAGTATCAAAAAAGACGAAGGACGGCAAGAAACCATTCCTACATTTAATGCAGCTCTTTTGATTATTTTAAAATTGCTTGATTTTATTAATTTATTTCATTTATTACTTAATATTTAATATTTTTAGAGCTCATCGCAATGCATTCTGTGATAGTCTACTCATAAAGGATATGTGTGATGAACGTGTAACTATTAAAAAAATAAAACCTCTTCATTTTATTTTTTGTAAAATGTATTACTTAATATATTTAATAAAAATTATGATAAAAAAAATATTATAAATATTAAGCTTTAATTTATTTTTATGTTATTAATTTCTTTAATTTAGTACTTAATATTTAATATTTTTACAGAGCTCACTGCAATGCATTCTGTGATTATCTACTTCACAAAGAATATGTGTTATGAACATATGTGACCATTAAAAACGTATATTATATGTATTACTTAATATATATAATATGTATTAATATATTATTTGATACAATTTAGGATCAAATTTATTATAAATAATTGGCTTTAATTTATTTTTATTTTATTTACAACTTTTTTAATGCTTATAGAGAATTACACTTCTCCGTGCCACTCTGCACAGAGGAATAAACATCCTGTTCAGTGGTTGATATTTAATTCCCATTAACAAACTAACAGCACATGCTGCCAGTTCTGTTGCTGTTTTAAGCGATAACAGACAGTTAACCTCTTGAACTAATGCTGCCAATAACTGGCCTGCAGTCTGGACATCAGGTGGTCAAATAACATATGAAGGGAGCATGATCTGCGAACACAACGCCAGTGCATTGTTGATCTAAAATTGGATTGGGGGTAACAAAAAAATACCTAAAGGGCAAGAGCAGGTTCTTTAGGACGTGGTAGAAAAGTGTGAAGGTCCCTGCTGAGCATTAATGGAAACGACACATGCC